TTCCAACTGTTGAACGAGTCATTCTGAATGGCATTAGAACGGGCGACGATGTCCAAATATTTCTAAAACAAAAATCCTATTTTGGGACTGTTGGTTTCTAAAGGATTGCATATCCAAAATTTTGCGCCGAATTAAAACGTCTGGCGAAATAGTTACAGAGTTTTCAAACTGAAAAATCAAGATTTTCAAGCATATCAGAAGCATATTATTCGTATTTACAAGGTCTAAGCTGAAGGTTAATAGGACGCCATAATTTCTGCCCTACAAATGCTACAAAAGACATACATCTAGATAAATGGAAACAGGTGTCCTTTGCGGACATATACTTTATTCTTTTTTGCTGTTATAGTTAAGTGTTAAAATAATTTAAACCAATATAAAACCGAATTTCTATTCCTAGGCCAAAGGTAATGATTTTTTGAACAGAAATATGAAATTAAATATGTCTTCGTTAGCAAAACTTTAGCCATTTTTGGGTGATATTTTTTAACTAACTTATCGGTAAAGATCACAAGATTAGTACCTTAGCAAATTACGACGTTACCCTATTGCTGCATATGTTGGTATCAAACTTTATATTTGTGTTGATTCGGAAGCACGATAGTCATCAAATGTAAAACCTGAAATACATTTTGGCTTCGCAAGACAAAATGAAGGCCAGAAGGCCAGAACAAAAGCTTTATTAATGAAAGCAAACGGGCGTAGGAAATAACCAGGGCGTCTATGACAAATGACCACTTACGAGAACATTTTCCTTCACATCGGCCAAATTAGCAACACTTGAGCTGAGACCTGCAAAGGTGAAAGTTAGGAACCAGTAAACAATGCAATTACCTCGATTTTGACAAGCAATTCTCTGTACGATGGTTTCATCTGCGGAGTGCTGACCCAACAAATAGACGAAAACGCGGACGTTTTTCTAAAAAGAGCGAATGCTCAGTTAGCAGAGAAGCAGTCCCGTCCATTCTCAGTTAACTGGGCTTAGACCTACCTCAGGATTAAACTTCTCAAATAGTTCTGTGAATTCTTCGGGCGCCCCATCTGTAATCAGCATAATCACACGGTTGCACTGACTGATTCGTGTCTCGTTCCTCTAGCAAATCAAGAAGAAAGGTTTATTCGTCTAGAGTGATGATGCCTTGAAAAATATGTACTTAACGGCGAATTCAAGCTGGCTAAATACACGTCGGACGACTAGCCTTGAGTTTCATAGGTGTCTGCAGTCGCCTCCGTGCTTTAAGAAACTAACAACGCCGTGTCTTTGAAGAAAAAGAAACGACTAGCTTTCATTTAAACAACTTTTGGAAGTTCGTCATAGTCCAAGCATTACCCTTATCATATCGACTTTTCATCGAAGCGTTTTGAAGTAACTGGAAATCCGCTCTGTTATTCAGTGACATTAAAGAAGCTTGTCCTGTATAGCCTACTAGCTCTGTTTAATTAATTTTGAGTCACAAGTTTTTGAAAGTTTCATAATTGTAAACTTCCTAAAACAGAATGACGTTTCTTCGTGTAGGAAATTTGAGGAAAAGTTGATTTCCTGTAAAATGAGTGCTAGATAATTTTGCTGTCAGCCCCACTGAGTCACTGATCTACCAAGCATTTTACAGCAAGAGACGTAATGAGATGGGCATGAGGTCACAAACAACTGTTCATCACCAGTGGCGTGGATTAAGCAAAGGTAGGGCTCGGATATACGTACCCCCTATGATCTATCTGCCTAAAAAGTGTCTCTTTTAATGCCTCAAAATAAGAACGCAGTGCTAATTCGTGGTTTTCGATTCCTTTAATTTTAGAACACCACATTTCCACTCCTAAAGGTCCCCGTTATCGCCATTCCCGTATTACAAGTGGTCTCGCGCCACAGTTCAGGGGTGGGGTGCACATATCCGTGTTCGAACCCAATAGAACTCAAAGCGCAATTATTGCTGAAACTGAGTAACTTTCAAAAGTCGTGGTTTTTCGACACCATGACACATCAGAAACTGACCTTTGTTTCCAACAGTAGGTCAGATTATTGTCAGTTCGACCGTAGTAAATGATGATTTCCACTGTGTGCCCCCATTAAGTGGACGCAAGGCTGAAGACTTGGGTGTGGACTAGTTTGTAGTGGCTACAAACCTACGTAGTACCTGTCGCACTCTCTTCTCTATCACACGCCTGCGTTGCGTAGCAATACAGAGTCGGGATGACCGGAGGCTTGCAGGGCAAAACAGCCCGCTTACGCGTGCCATAGACGACTTGTGTCCGCATAACAGACCAGGTTATCACACAAATATGGAAGTTAGATTTGGATATGTGGAGTGAATAGGCCGGTGAATCCTTTTGACCCCTTTGTAATGCCCAGATTGCTCTGTTCACAGTCTTGCGCTCTTGTACCTAACCGATACAGAATTAAGGCTCTCCAGTTATATCGAGGCAAACATTCGTAATGAAGACTTTCATACATTGTCAGGACTCGAATCCGCATTACAAGCGTTTCGGACTGGTGTTTCTCTAGTAAACGCTAAGGAATGTGCCTCTCTTATCAAAGATATTTTAACCGATTAGGGCGCGGCCTAACCCACCAATATTTTCGAATTCGAAACCGCAGCAAATGTTCACCCTTAGCATGCAAAAGTTCTTTTGGATTAAGTCTTATTTAATACCAGTGTGAATGTGACTGCCACTGACCGGCTTCATGCGTTCATTAAAAATTACTCATTTTGATTTCTCGAGAACTCTTGAGAACTTCCGAAAACATAAGATAACAATAGACAGTGCATATCGGAAAACCATTACAAAATAAGCATTGGGGGGATGCTTGACAAATTAAAACTGGTATATCAGGACGAGGCTAATTTCCAAACGGAAAGCAGTGTTGCTGTTTCTGAATTTTGTGATTCCATACTTAAATACATTAGGCCCAAGACTAAAAACTCATTATATGCACTTTTAAATGTGCACTTGAGAAGCAATCCAGGTTTAAATAGGGCTGTGTGGACAATATCTAGGTCTGATCGTAAAACCTCAGTTAAAAGATGGTTGGGATGGCAACTCAAACTTCAACCGAACAGGGTGGATAAGCGAAGCCCAAATGTCGTAGATTACTGTATGTAACCACGTTGAATTTAAGTTAGAAAGAAACGAGTTTCCCCTTTAGGTTGCAATGCGAATTCACGCTATAATATTGCTAAAGTAGCTAACCCATTTACTGGACAAAAATAAAATTATATAA